CCAGTTGATACTTTTCCTGAGTTTAATTTGGTTTTGCTGTCCTTCTGACTCTGAGAAACAGAATTAGAAATGTTTTAGATTGTGTTCACTCTACTCTTGTTCCATTCGTGTCACTGTTAGTATTAACTGCTTTATTAGCTATCAAAGTTTATGGCTTTGCTTGTTTTAGTATGCTAGTCTTTTGTATCTGACATACATACAGGTGTTGCTTTGTATGTATACTGTGTGTGTGTTTATGGTTAAATCTTGTATTTAAAAGTTGATAGCTAAGTAGCTTGTATCATTTTTTATTTATTACCAGCCTTTAACCATTATGTTTAAACACTTTAATCATGAGTCCAACTTGAGCCTCACTATTGTAAGTTACATGTTTTCCAGCATACTTCCTACTATTAAAGAACTTCCCTGGTAGGAAAATTGCATAGTGATTTCTTACATAAAATTAATTTGATGTGCAAGGTTAATACTATTTTGATTCACGTATTTAAGTTCATATTTATTGTGAGTTCCTCAGAGTACTTCAAAACACTGTTTTATGTTCAATTTGCTGCTGAGTCCAAAGCTTGAAGGGACAGTAGTGTCCCTCCCACCCTCCCATATTTGCTGGGGATATGATCTAAGAACCCCAGTGGATGCCTGAAACTGCGGATAATACCAAACTGTGTAAATACTGGTTTTTTTCTATATATATATATACACCAATGATAAAGTTTTATTTACAAATTAAGCATAGTACTGCTGCACTTTACAGCTATTATTAAATAAAATAAGGGCACAAGCACTGTGATACCATAACAGTCAATCTGATAACCCACACAGCTACTAAGTGATTAATGGACAGTTAGCATCAATAGCATTAATACACTGGACAGAGGGAGGATTCACTTTGTTATGTGAGAGATTTCATCATGCTACTCAAAGTATTATGTAATTTAAAACTTACGAATTGTTTATTTCTGGAATTTTTCATGTAATATTTCCAGACTCTGGTTGACTGAGGTTAACTGAAACCCCACAGACAACGAAAATGTGGTTAAGGGTGGGAGAGAACTATTGTATGACTGTGTTTTTTCCCCCACATAAACTTTATATTAAGTACCCTAGCATCACATACCTAGTTTTAAAGAGAAAAATAGATTGACTATATTATTTTGTTCTCTACTCTCACCCGTCCTAATTGGGAATTAAAGTATCATGAGGTCAGGGATGTTCTCTCTAGTCAGCACCTAAATATAGTGCTTGGCACATGTTACAGTGAAGCAAAATAATTTCATGTCAAGTGAAATCACATTTTATGGTGATTACTCTCTTCAAACATAGGATTTGGGGCTTCTTTTCATTTTTGTGGATAAAAGAAGTGAAGTAGAGAATTGGGAAGCTCGTCTTACCTCTCTTTGGCAAAGCCTTAACCATGGAAATTTTGATTTTATAAAT